TTTTACGGGCGCGCATGTTCTCGCGATCGTCAATTACCCGGACGACAAGCGGCGCTGCTTTTTGCGAGTCCAGCCGTGGAGGAGCGTCGTCGTCCTCCTCCTACTCCTCTTTCTCCTGCCCCTCTCGTCCTCGCGACGCTTCCTGAAGCTCACCCGCGGCACAGAGCTCGATCGGCTGTTGCACCGAGCCCGGAAGATCGCCTGGGCGCGCGTCTCCCGCGGGGAAACGCGCCATTTATCCATGTCAGCCTCATTCACCGACACGCGCGCCAGGGCCCGGTCGCAATCTACGATCCTTACCCACGTGACGGTGCCGCGCATAAATACACTTCATGCACACGCACTCGTCTCCTTCCTCCTTCCTTCCTTCCTTCCCTCTTTCTTTCTTTCCCACTCTTGCTTTCTGAGAAAGCGGAATTTTTGCGTGTCGGAGAATAACTGAAGGTCTAAAAACGGCAAGGTACGGATAGGATAATAGATTTTATTCGATATTGAAAATCCTGCGACGATTAGAAAAGGGAAAAGGCGACAAACCGTCAATGTACCATCAAGTTTCCCTTTACAGAAATAAATTTATGTTTTATAAATTCGTCAATTGGATACACGAGTAAATTTTACTCCTGGCTAGATGTAACGTATATTTCATTTATTATATTTTTTCTATTTGGAGATAAAAAAGTCACTGTGCGCGCGCGTGTGAAGCAGTGCACGCATGTACTCACGCAGCCACGAACACATACGCGTGCGATTAAAGGAGCGAGCACGGTAGATTCACGGTGGAACAGCGGCATCCTGCTGCCGGTGCGGATAGACGTCGCGATAAAACGCGGTTAACGCGGAAATTAACCGTTATATCTTTGCACTTATTTACTCTTACACCAAGAGATAACCTAGCGAGCGCGCCGTGCCGTATTTTACATAATGCAACCGGGCCCCTTCGTGCCCCCGCGCTTCCCTTACTCTGTCTTTCTTACGCCACGCGGGACCACGCACTCGTAGGCGCTCCCGAGGCCGACCTAAGGATCCGTTAAAACCATTCCTGCCAGGTGTCTTGAATTACTTTCATGCCGAGCAGCGAGGGAAAGACCTACTTTTGTTCACTGAACGGAGACTAACGGGGAACCATTCCCGCTGTGGCTAACGACGCCCGACATTCTCCATTTTGCAGACGAACGCTAGTCTTTTTCTTCCGGTGTCATCTTCCGTCGTGATCGATGGTGTCGAGGATTCCGCGCTGACGCGGCGATCTTTTTAGCAAGTTCTGTCGCTCGTTGAAACAGCTAACTGTAGAATGCTTGGGAATAAATTTACGGTCGAATAGATAAACGGATGATGAAGATGTATCTCGTCTTCGTGAATATTGTGCCTACATATTGGTGATTGTTGTATCAACTTAATAAAGCGGCAGTTTCTGGTGACACGATGGTAAGTGCGATTAGCTCACTAGGTCATAGCAATTACGACTATGACTATATCCAACACGTTTTATATCATTTACCTATCGTTAACTTTTAGTGGGGTTTGCTACTAAAACATCAAAACATTACCATACGACGAGATAACAATTAATTCTGTCAGCATATACTAGACATTTCTATATCTGGATAATACCAAATACATACATATCTAGGATATTACCAAGTTACTGGTTTTTGGGTAGTGTTTGGATACTACCTAAGTTACAAGATTATCAGGTACTACCTAGGCTATCAGATTTCTAGGTAATATTTAGATAGTACCCAGGAGTTATTTGATAGTATATCCGAATATCCAAAATTTACAGTCAACTCAAAATACCTGGGTTTGTGAGTATCAGGACAGTTCCCGAGATACTAAAGTATCTAGACTTGACACCACTAATGATCACAATAGTTACTACAATGCAATACTTAGAAAGCGATTTCGAATGTTTCCACTTTAAGTGATCCGCGAAAGTTAGTTCCCCATTTGGAATAAACACTACGTCCAATAAAGTAAGCCTCATCTCCGCACATGTACTTCATTCGTTCACAATACGACATGTCTTTCCGATGATGTTCTGCCTTTGGCAGAAAATAAGATGAAAAAAAAAAGAAATATGACAGATTCTAAATGTTCGCTGCTCGTGTGCCGAATAGCGTAGCCTCCATCAGCATCCACCAGATGACTCCCATTCTCGGCAGCATCCGCGAGATGCTGGCGGGAGCATTTCCATCTCCATCCGTTCCTCGTCTCCCCTGATGTCAGTGCAAAACCGGCGCGTCGACCAATGGGACGACGGCTTTATCGTTGTGCAGCAATCGCTATTGGCTGGCACCAAGCGAGCTCCTATCGAGCGGGCGTCGGAGGGCCGCACCTCGCACAGACTACTCTGAGGTTAGTGTACCCTCACTTTCCTCGTAGGAGAGAGACAGAGACGAGAAGCCGACGAGGAAGAGAACCAAGTGGGAGATAAGCCAGCGCTTGGCTTGGCTGCTGCTACTGCTGCTGCTTCTTCTTCTTCGTTAGTATTGCTTCCAGCCGTCTATCCGTCCGGAAAGTCTCTGATCGATATGACAGCATCCTCCTCTTTTACCACAATGACAGCTTTCTTACATGATGCACTGCGCAATGCGTTCCATTCGCGTCTCTCGAACTGTTTGAAGTTTCGGAGCGAAAGACAACGATTATGATTCGATCAAATTTTGAGTAAATTCTAAGCAGAATACTTTCCTTGGAAAAGTTGTTTCTTCATTGATAAGAGATAGTATATTTGTTTGGAGAATGTTCAACTTCAAATAATGCAGGCCAAGATCAATAGTTACAGAATTTAATTCTTTAAAGCGTCATTTAAAAATCTGAGCAGTGAATTTAGTAGATTTTAGTAGCAGTAGAATTTAAGTAGTTGGATACTACGCAAATAATTGTTGCAGTCACTATTAGTAGTGTCAATTTTCTGGATATCCAGGTATTAGGAATAGTATTCGCGAGATAGAGTATTTAGATATCTGAAAATACGTGTAGCATCTGTGAATTTGTGTATCCGAGTACCCAAATCTTTCAGGTATATCTCAAAGCTTTTGCACCCTATTCTTCAGGATCTTTGACTGCGAACTAAATCGCGACTCTGATAGGACGGCGTGTAAGATTAACGACAACTCGCGTTTAACGCGAAGTTCGATTTGTAGAAGGCAACTTGATCGTGCCACCCGCGGTTAATGAGCCTAATGGGACTAATGAAACCTAATGGGAATCAGGAGCGAAACGACTCTGTCGCGCGGAGACGCGATGAATTTTCGCTTTGCTGCTCGCGTGTGCGCTGGTTCGCACACTGCTGCCGCTGGTTCGGCCAAATATAGTTGGCCGCGCGTAAACCAGGCAAATCTAGAAGAACTGGTCGTGGCGGACAATGTATCTAACTGTCACTCGCGTTATTCACCTACAATTAAAAGGCGCTTACGCCGTGCGTGGAGAATCACGTACGTGCATAGGTAAAGTGGAAACATGTCAACCATGATTTATACTAACAAGTCGTTATTTGTATACTACAGTTTCAGAATTTCATTAAAATTTAATTTCAAATATGAGGTTGCTGTAAATGTTTCAAATGTTAAACATATCGAAAAGATCCATTTCTACGATCTTAAAAAAGCCACTATCTAAAATTGCAAATGTTGGAAGCTTTATTGATCTAGTCTAAATATACTGTAGAGTTAAACTTTTATATCGTATTTTAAAGATAGAGAAATCTGGAATTACAAAAGGAATGTTAGAACTCTATCAGTTTCCACGTGTAAAAATACGTAAAAACACAATTATATCATAAAAAAGCAACATGATCTCGTGCGAGATTCATCGAATTGATGATAAAAATAACCAATTTGTGTGGTCACAATCCTCCAAAGAGATAGAGTGACAAACCGGTGTCAATATTAAAATTGCCATGGGAACACGTTTTTTGCCAGCTGGCGTCGTTTAAGTAATAATTTGTACCTGTATGCGTGACTGACGAGTGACTAACCACTCGCGTGTCACATCATTTCTCTTCCCAAGAGCTCTTCCCATCGAGATCCCCCGATTGTAAATTAATTGAGAGTGAAATGTGAGCGCACAAGCGAATGCTTTGCGACCGAGACGTAGACGTGAACGACTGGGCTAATCATGAATAATGAATGTAGCTTTAACGCAGCTTAGAATGTTCCCAGAAACACGAAATCGATGATGTTACCGGAAGCAGATGTTGTAGCGAATTGGAGTAACTCAATAACTGTACGAACGATATTTCGTCTTGCGCTGGCGTCACGCTGGTTTATCGATTCGATACAAAGTGCTTCCCTCTAAGTCGATTTTTCCTTTCTCTCGCAGAAATACACACACAGAGAGAGAGAGAGATATGTATCTTTGAACATATTTTTGCTATCCTTGGCTCTTTGATCCTTGAAAACTAAATAGTTTAAATCTTCAACAGACAGTTTAAACTTTAATTTAACATTACAAGCTCTGATTTTTCGAATGTTTAATTAAAAAAATTTCCATTAATTTTTCATCTATATTTAACGTAAAACATATAAATAACGAATTAATAAGTATACGTGATGAAATTCAACGATAACTAAAGGAAACTCGAAGCTATCATATATTAAAAGAATAAGACAACTCGTACGAGACGAAAGTAAAAGCGAGAAGATATAAAGAAATGATAAATTATGTAAGGATATTGCGGGCAGAATTTGCTGAGTTCGAGAGGTCCTCCAGGAAAACGCAGCGATGCCCGGAGAAATAACATTATCACCAATACCAGTAATAATGTGAATGACACCGACGACAACCACCAGCTAACACTAACGAAAGACAGACAACGGTAGAGTGCGACGGAGTGAACTACTTTTGCATAGAAGACAAAGAGAACGAGAGAGAAAGAGAGAAAGAGACAAAGGGTAAGCTACAAAGGCGCCGGCGCAGCGCGCAGACGCCCGGCGTCCCGACGTCTCTACCCCTGAAACCGGCTGCAAAAACCCCACCCCGCCGTCACCGCCCGACGAGATCGCAGCACGAAGGGGTCAACCCCGCTTCCCTGCCGTGGCGACGTCCGCCCCTGGCCCTGGGTGGCCGTTCCAGGATCGTAATATTATGCCGACGGGGAGCAGCTTCCCTCTCGCACGAATCTATCGCGTCTTTCCAACTTCCTTCTCGCACCGCGCCGCTCTCGCGAGTTTTCCGTTCGTAGGTTTCCGGCGGGCCAGTTTCCCGCTCGCAGGTTTTCCGCGCGCGCGAGTTCCGTCAGTGAAAATTCCTTTCGCAAATCTCTCGTTCGCCGATTTCCCACCCGGGCAAATTTCCCTCGCAAGTTTCGCGCTTGACAATTCGCGAAGACCTGGACCGGGAGCTTTTCCCCGCCTCACATTGCTCGCGAATTTTCCCCTCGTGACACTTTTACTCCCAAATTTCATCGACCGCGGACTGACGGCAAGCTTAACGTGGACGTGTGTGCTCATCGCAAAGAAAGCGTAAAAGGAGTGTTAGGATTTGGCAGGATAAGTCTAGTGCCGTGACCAGTGTTGTGACATTTTGCATCTTGGAAGCCGAAGGAAGAAAGGACCGACGTAGCCCGGGAAAGTTGAAGGATATAATGAGGATACGGTGCTTCAAATAAGGGATGAATTGGTGGGTGTAGGATAGAATCACGTTGTGCGACACGGTTATCCGACGGCTCGTGATGATGACTGCGGTTTCGTTGCGGATTGTGTTTGGTGGAAAACAGAGAATCTAAGGATCTAACGAACCACTGATGACTTAAAGATCTAACAATTTAAGATCACGTGGATTCAATTTTTAAAATCTGTAAAAATCTAATCACTCGAACTTTTGAATTTAAACCTGCCGTATTTTGTAATTACAATTCACAATTTTATCAGTGTCTTCTCCTAAAAATGTCAATGACTGTGGGTTGACTAGTGTTTCACTTTGGATAATCGGCAACGAGAATTGTAACCTAACCTAACGATCTTTCACAATAAAGAAAGCTTGAAATATTCTTTTTCTTCTTTTCAAACGTTCTAAATTAAGAACTTGATTATTACTTACTATACATTCATTGCATTTATTACATTTAAATTGTGTTTGTCATATTATAAAGTTGAATATCCTTCTTGAGGTCCAGATTAACCTTTCGAAGTTGAGAATTTGAGGTTAAAGAATACGCGATGACTTATTGTTGAATTTCCTATTAGCGAAACAATCGGCCAGACAACTCGTTAATAAGTACGTAACATGCAAACGATAGTTTAAAGTCGACACAATTTTGCTGACGTTATCGCATAAGCACATCTCGTCGCAGAGATTCTATTATCGCGAAATGGCAAATCAATGTCATGTAGAGGAATTATCCTCTCTACATTCTCGCGACTTTTCTCTTGTTCAGAGCATGATTGATGACCGCACCAACTGTCTGGCCGGCTCGAGGCAGCCGAGCTCGTTGGAGCGCTGGAATATCCGACGTTGAAACCGCGACGCAACCGAATTGGATTCTAGAAGAGTTCACGGGTCTAAGGTGACCGTGATTTAGATGAAAATAGTCAAGCGAGGGTAAATTCGACGAGTGGTTTGTCGCAGACAAACGAGAAGCGAAAAATCGCCGACGGGTAGAATTCGCCGTCGGATTTCCAGCTGTTTAACCGACTCTAGGTAAGTAAATAGAAAAAGAACGAGACCTAGCAATTATTAAAATTATTCGGATATCTTAGATATTTGCTTGAATATTTTCCGCGACTGAAGTAAGTAAAAGTATTCTTATAGGTCCTAACATTTTGAAAGCAGAAAGTGGTATAAGTTCCAAGCAGCATTTAATACAATACTTCATTGGCCGTAATCTAAACTCAATAATTTATTTCTTAGATTAATATAAACGCCTCATTAACGTGTAAATTAAAAAAAAATTAAAATTTATTACTATTTCTTTCTGCGATTTCAATTGGACAGTTGCCACTATCACTGACCCTGATACATGAACTACATACATTGATACATTGGCACTATCACTCTTATTACCTCAAACTCCGAGAACACTACTCCAGGTATACCACGAGGTAGTTGCACGCCTCAGACTTACACCATTATATGTATATGGCATACATGATAACAACTATTCGATTGAACTCTGAGCTCATGTTACACAAGTGTCTTCAGCTTCTTAAGTGGATAATTTTCTGAATTATAAATTGCCTTTTTATCTCATTTTTATGTTTTTTATCTAGTAACAATACATCGTAAACTTCAGTATTATATGTAACACCTGTTCGACAAATTATTACACACATTATTCTAACTGGTGTCGCGTAAGGACGCTGACATCTTCGTAAGGAAGGACGACACCTCGGCATTGCTCTCGCAGAAATAGCGCACCGACTGGTAAAAGACCCGACTGAGTTACTGCGGCGATTTGCGAGAGCTTCCGTTAATTAGCACCGCGACCGCGATTCGACCGAGAGTCGTTCATTAACGGGTCGCCGACCACGAATTGTTTTCATTCATCGGTTCTTCCTTGCGTATGCCACTCGGGCAATGTGTCCTGAATGAACATACCGGCGTGCAACATAACTTGTAAGGTTGCTCAAGACACTTCAACCTCGTCGTTGCCATTATAGGAAGGAAACGCCGGAAGACAATTTTCTATAAGTGAATAAGAACTGTCTGCTAAACTCATAAAGAGGCTACGATTATCACTCGCTCAATCAGTCATAATATACAGTACATTTTCCCTTAAGTCTCTCGAAATAAATATTAGCCCCCCAGGAGATATTTATTATACACATTATATATATTCACATTCTATTGCCCTCAATCCTTTGTAAAATAAGAAAATAGTCTTCCTCTCTTGCCTCGCGTCAAACATTTTGTTCTATACAGCTTTTTACGGTTTCTGACCGCAAACATTCTTGTATCCCTTAAGTTTCCCTACCTAGGTCAAAGGTTTTACGTTACACTCAGTTCTCAGATATGTCTGTGCAGCGTGTATCACGAAAGTTTGCGATAACCACTTGTAGAATGCAGCGGCATGCGTCGTAGCAGCGCGCGACCAGGGAAATGCTGAAGGAAGTTGGCTGCGGGAGTGCTACACCCCCGCCTGGGGACGGCGGCGGGGCAAACAATCGGCAGGTCGGCGTGAACGAGGGCGGCGGTGGCAGCAACGGCGGCGGCGGAGGTGGTGGCGGCTGTATCAGCGTCGCCGAAGGTACCCTTGGCTGCGGCGGCTGCGGAAGGGAAATCGCCGAGCGTTGGTATCTAAAGGCGGCTGATCGTGTATGGCATTGCGGCTGCCTGCGCTGCTGCCACTGCCGAGTACCCTTGGCCGCCGAGCTCACCTGCTTTGCTAGAGACGGCAACATCTACTGCAAGGAGGATTATTGTAGGTGAGTGCGATTTCACGTACGGAAATGTGTTGGAACTTACAGCGATGTCGCTCATGGGAAACAGCTAGGAACTGTGTTCTGCTACTTATTATTATATAAATTTCTTTTCGACATATCGCGCCATGTATAGCTTCTCTTAAAAAACAATTCTCTGCAAAAACTGCTTAAGTTTCGTTATTTTTTCCTGTCTTTTCGTGCAATTTGTCGCAAGATTAACGTCCGATAGTTATTATCCTGAACGACCTATAGGAATTATTTGATATAAAAAATAGAGAGATAACGTGTGGCAGTAGCATTTCAACAGCTGTTTTATGAGTCTAACGAATTGGTAATTTTAGAGATTAATTATCCAAAGAATTCATGACGTGTTTCTTCCTAAGATATTATCTAATTATAACTTTTAAAATACACACACAAATTCTGTCGATGTAACATTTCAAAAGCTTGAAATATTTGAAATTCAAAATACTTGGTAAATCCAACCACACATTCAAAGTTCAAAGATCCGAGAACTCAAAAACTGGCGTACACCAAAAACAATTCAAGCGTGAACGCGTAAATAAGTATACAAATATCTTATATCGTACGAGATTAAATGCGTTTGGCGTCGAGTATTTCAGGTTAAGAGTAAAATGAAAGACTGAAAAGCGCGTTCGTTAAGGCGAACAAGGGAGGAATTCAACAGCCGTTCTCCATGCAATATGCAACAACGCGAAGCCTTTGTTTCTGTCTACGCGAATGTGAATGGTCCGTTTCGATCGCTTTAGAAATTCATCTCAAGCAGAATTCGTAATACATACGCAACATTCGCAAAGCGAATAATGTATCATTAGGATTCCGAACATATATCTCTCCCAGATTTTTCTAATTCAAATCTTCAATAGGGCAAAATTGAGAAAAACTTAGTAATACATACAGTAAATGTTAGAGAAAATAACAAGAACTTTTAGATTTTTGAAATTTTAACTCAATTACAATTAAATTGCTACTCGATTGATATCAATACCCCAATAATCCAACATGATTACGGTAAAAATGGAATGTGTTGACACTTTGAAACTTGCACCTTTAACTTATAGTGTCTTATAGTGCTGAACAACGATATATCGTTGTTAGCAACACTTGCGAAAAGTGCCAACGACGATATATTGTTGCACATACGATGCTGCCGGACTATCCGCGTCGCGAGAGAACTCTGCTTTAAAACTAATTTTATAAAACGTTATAAATGGTTGAATTTTTCTTCAGAAATGATATTTTATGCTTAGATACATTTTTTTCGGTCGGCATTAAAAGGGTTAAAACTGAAAACTTTTAAATAACCAAGTTTTAATGCATGTCCTAAAAATAACTTCGAAAAATTCCTTTTAGCAAAGTTAAGGAATTTGACAACATTCGCGAATAAGAATTATTCTGAGATTTACGCAGTAAAAGTTAATACTTCAATCATCAAATTTTCTTATCACAGACTATTCGCAGTGTCCCGATGTTCTCGATGTCGCGCTGGTATCTCCGCTTCGGAATTAGTGATGCGCGCTCGCGAGCTGGTATATCATGTGGCATGTTTCACTTGTGCTTCCTGTGGCACCCCGCTCAACAAAGGCGACCATTTCGGGCAGCGGGATGGGCTAGTATATTGTAGGTGAGAAACGCGAGCATCTGATTATTACTATCCTTCAAAGGCCGTTTCTCCTTGTTATTAACGAGTTCGATGACGAGATTGACAGCAGCTTGAAGCGCTTTGTCGCACCAAGTCATTTCCCCCATCCACTCACTCTTTCCTCCCACGCGCTAATGACAGTTGTTGAGTACTAATGATGGTAATTGGAACGGATGGTCCCGTCTCGGGTTCTAAGAAAATAACTGCAACGACGTAAACTTCGATGTACGAGAACATGAGCACTTGTGAATGCAAAGATTCAAGGAAATCGATGCGATTCAAGAGTTTGAGAAAGCTGAAACGTCACAAAAATATAGTCACGAAGTATATAGGCAAAGAACAAGTAAAAATCAAGAAATTTAAACCATAATTCTAGTTGAAAACTAGACTTAAATGCCCAACATGTGATTTGTTTGTAAATTCTAACGAACATGAAATTGCGCAAGAAACAACAGATATATAAATAATATATATAATATCTGATAAAATATGCCCGGATTTAAATACTTCTGATAATTTGCTGAATTAGCTAATTTTCTAGCTACGTATAATTGATCTCTAAGTCCCACCCCATGAAATCCAACAACCATGTTCACGAAATCGAACTCGTTCATCGAACTCGACATGTAACGCGGAGGTCAGGTCGTCTATCGACTACTTGACAGAGAGGTTGACGACTGACGAGCACGTCGCTCCCAAGACCACACTACGAGTTGCTGTGCTGTGCTGGGGATTACGGAGGTGCTGCTAGTAACATCGAGGACATCGGCTCACCAGGAGTGTCGCCGCTGCCAGCTTACTACGAGCAGAACCCGATAGCCTCCTCCGGCACGGTGCAAAAGGGTCGGCCTAGAAAGCGAAAACTGTCGGAAGTCACCGGCTCCGAGCTTCCTGTCACGATGAGGCTGGCCGCTGGAGCGCTCGGTGAGTCAAGCCAATGTATGTTCCGCGATCTTGTACGATCGTGAACGATTTTCATCTAAGATCACTTGATAACGCGATTGTGTTTACTCGTGTTCACAATAACGTGCCACATTCTCTTCATCCCTTTCAATTGCACCATTTCCTCTTTTGATTACGCATATATATTTGGCGCTTACTGAGACAATAATATATCATTTTCTTTATTCTGATAATTTTATGAGCCTCAAAAGCTCATTTTATGAGCTCTTGAATTTTTTCACGACTAAAAGTGGTGATAAGAGTAATCAAAGTTTTAACATTAAGGATTCACGAATCTCAGTATCTCTACAAAGTTTTAACAACTTCGTGTCGTGAGAATTCAGGAGCCTGACTCGAAAAAAAGTCCCGTGACCTGACGATTCAAAGATTTAAAGACTGTGGTTCACTACTACTCTCTTTCATGCTTTCTCTACAATCCGCGCTAGAGCAAACAAGCTAATCGGCGCAGTTGCATTATTTACCGAGGAAGGGGTATAATGGGGCGTTTCTTCGTGCAAACATTTGCTCGGTCCTTCAGCCCGTTGCAGATGTTATTTCATATCGTACGCGATTATTTGGCTCGTTAATCGGACCGTTCAATATCGGCGGGTGGAATTCTTTGGTGAATTCTCGCACGCTGCGCAGATGTCTACCCGCTCAATAATTCAGTGTATGTGTGTGTGTGTGTGTGTGTGCGAATCTCCTATGAAAAAGATTTTTCTTTTACCTTGGTCTCACAAAATATTTGTTTCCTGTTCTAATTTTCACTTTCAAACATTCATTAGCTTTCTAAATAATAAATCGTAATGTAAGATGATAGTACAATAAAAATAAGGGATAATTTAAAATCATAGCGAGTATTATATTGGATGTGTGAATCTCATTGAGGTATTGAACTTGAGACAATCGCATATGAATCACGAAGTTAATCATTATGACAGATCTACTATTGTCACGAAGGGAATTCACGGATAGAAGACTTATGGTAGTGAGAATGAAAATTTCGTCGAATCGAATTTCAAGCTATTGATTTCTTTCTTCGTGTTCGCTCGACTTACGTCGTTTGTCGACTGAGCACACTGGTATCACACATTTAGATACGCGCGCGTGATTCTCACTGGTTTTATGGTCGTTTCGGTTTGGACGCAGACCAGGATGACGATGCGACTCGACCAGTACCGCGTGCGCGTAATTCCCAGCTATTTTATAATCGACAAGAGCGAGGATCACTCTCCCTGAACTACCGGTCGGAATTTACGACCAACAACCATAAAATCATCCATGAAGTCCTGTGCGCGCAACCTCAGGTGGGAACAACCGGCCTGAGAGAAAGAGCCTTGCCGTTTTATTGTCTTTATATATAATTGGGACAGTTTTTGCGAAAGAGACATGCCGACGACGAGATCTCAAGCTATCCCACATCTAGACGCGCGCCGATCGACGGTAGATTGCGAAGGCCCTCATAGTGATTGGTCCCTCGCATCGAATTAAGAGAATGTCAACTCGGTCATCTCCGATAAATTTCTAATCGTTACATCTGATATGTTAGATACAAAATAGACAAATTTTACAAAATCGTCACAGATCGGAGACTCAAAAAGATCAAAAAAATTTCCTATACTCTTGGATACAACTCAGCAAACACCAAGTAACATAACATCAATGTTACTATTAGCTACTGTTTACTGGGAAGTGTTCTGTACAAGTCTCAATGAAGAGCATACATTCAGAAAGAATTGTGTATTTGTATGAAACGTTTACATACACTAATCCCGTATGGCCAAACTCATTTCATACTACTTCGCACCAAAACCGAAAAAGTACTGACCTTGCCACGGAGGGAGAACTCGCGAATCTCGGGGAAGTCCCTCCAAAGGGTAAATTCGGCGGATTTAGCGGTTTAAGAATGAGATTACAATTTGTCAGAGCGAGTTAGAAGCCAAAATCGTCGAGGCCGAGGACCGAGGATCAACGAAGAAACGAGAGAGGTATTCCCGCTGGCGATACCGGCAAGAAACTCGCGCAGGCGGCATTATAGTGCTCCGACCGGCCATTCTGCTGGAAGTAACCGCACATTGGCCACAGCAGCATTCTTTTCCGGGCAGATCGGCCAATCGATGCATCTCTCGACGCCGATACCTATCTGTCACTGTCCGCCGGGACCCGAAGCCGTTCCTCTTTCTGGAGAGACAGAAAGGCCTCGCCGAGAGTCGAAAGCCGCGCCGGGAAAATCCTATTTCGATTCGATTCGCGTGTAACACGACGCCGCAACTGGAAGCTTGTCCTTTTTAGCCGCTCTTTCTCTCTTACGTCATCCGCAAACAAAATGAAATAAACGCTCTGGTTTTTGGGAAGGATGGCATTTGCAGTTTTCTTCTCGCCTTTTATCTTTCTTCTTTTATTATTCTCTTCAAAAGATAGGTTACTTTAAAGGACAAAGGTGATTTTTGGACAATACAGCGTCTCACTGCGCTATCGCGTCGCTTTCAAACATGTAGAGCTGATCGATCAACGGTTATGTCATCGTGTACGAATTTATCTGAGTTATGGTGAACGGGGATAAAGAAGCGTGGAAAGGGAGTCGCAGGGAAGAGAACGAGTGTGCAGTTGCAGTTGTTGCGCGCCGGCGGAGCGAAGGAACGCATCCAATAAATAAGACGACGAGGGTAACCATTAAATTCAATCGGGAGAAGAACGGGTTCCAGTCGGCGAAGAAGGGATGAGGGGGAGGGGCGAGAAGGGATCCCAGAAGTAAATCCCCGAGCACGTATGCGCCATTACTGTTTATTGTTCCGAACTTCCATTCCCAACGGAATCTGCTGACGATCTGCCGGTTCGTCAAAGAGAGAAAGAGGCTTCGAGAGAAGGAGAGGATAAAGAAAGAAAAAGCTCTCTTTCGCGAACAACCGCACCGCCTTTGGAATTTCCTTTTTTTTCTATCGAGGTGAACGACACGCATTTCGTTTTTTCTCGGTTTGGACGATTGAAAAAACATAGTTATGTTCGAAAAATCGGAAAGAAAAGTGTGTTACGGAAAGGAATCGATTCTTCGAATCTGTCGGAAGAGTTAAAATCCTTCTAAGGATTTCCTACGCCGTTCGTTCGACATGGGCCACGGCATGAATTAAAGAAGACTACGGAGTGAAGAATGGGTAGAGGTGACAAAGAAATATTAGGTAGCAGACGATTCGTGGATTTTTGTATGGTAATTCTTAATGGGAAAGCGTTCGAATAAGTTCAAATACTCATGACGACACATACATTCGACATCTGAGAAACCTGCACACAAGAAAATCGGTCGAATTAACAGTACAATAAACAAGCAAAACGCATTTTGGTTGAAGAGAACGGAATTTCTAATTCTTAAAGCCGAATTTAATTCGCAAGAACCAGAAATTCTGTTTCCTTCAAGCAAAACGGTTTATTCATTATCGCGTTAATTCAACCACTCCTTTTTCTCTGAACACTTTCCAAGTCCTTGAAATTTCCAAGTTCTTGAAACTATGATAATTTCAACGATTTTAAGATTTCTTTTATAATCTTGAAATCTCTAGTCTCTGATAGTTAGCTTTGAAGTCTTCAGAAGATCCTGGAAGTTTTGAAACTTTCGACGCTGCAACCTACTATTTTTTACACGTACGAACATAAAGGAGCTCGATGAACTCAAAGTGTCAAAGTATAAAAGATCTATGACAATATTGTTCTTTGTTCCTCTCCGCCGCATGTTGCTTACGCGCTTCAAGTCGAGCGAGATTCAAGACTTGAGTTTCAAGATACGTGATATCAATGATTTCACGAGTTCGCATCGCGTAAAAAGACACTTTCTAGCCGACGTCGCCATTGCAGAACTGCTGCATCCCACTGAACTGTCCTCGTCGATGGAGTCGCTAGCATACGACGCGTCCGTAGGCTCTCCGGGCCCGGTGCACCAGAGCCAGCGGACGAAACGCATGCGTACCAGCTTCAAACATCATCAATTGCGAACCATGAAAACTTACTTTGCGTTAAATCAAAACCCGGATGCCAAGGACCTCAAGCAACTCGCGCAGAAAACCGGCCTATCAAAAAGGGTACTGCAGGTGAGAGACCCTACGTTCTACTCGCGCTTTATGTGTAGAAAATGAAACAATTATCATGAAGCTATATATCGAAACAGAAGCTATTTAAATTCATCATATTAAACTACTTTGATCGTAAGCGTTGAACAAATTTAGACCAACATCTTTTACTCTTTTGCTTCTCGGAAGGTGCAAATGATTATATTATAGCCAAAAGTAATCATTGTTGTGTGGAAGAGCGGTTACAAGCAATTCAAATAATGCATTCCTTCGATGTTGCACGCGTCTGTTTAGGTATGGTTTCAAAACGCGCGTGCGAAATGGCGGCGGAATCACATGCGGCAAGAGAGCAGCAACGCTGGCAGCAACGTCGGTTGTTCCGGAACGCCGGTGTCCTCCAGCACCGGCAGTTCCCCGAACGTCGGTCCAACCGCCAGCATCCTTGGCGACAGCAACAGCATGCCCTCGACCTCCATGGAGGAGTTACACGCTCTTCATCATCTGCACTCCGGCGTCTCCTCTCAGGTCTCCTTCTCGGATCTCTATAGACGACGGCTCGAGATGGAAGAGGATGCTTACAGCAGCCTCTCTAGCCATCTTGGATGAGGGACTATTACGCTTTCTCGAGGATCAATTCCGAGGAACTCGGCAAGTCGATGACAAAACCATCATCGTTTCTAAGAAGAATCACTGATAAACGTTCGCGTTAGCTACTGTTCACTTATCATGGCAACGGTCGCCACGTTTGAGTCTGGACTGTGTTCCGAAATATCCAAAGTGATTCTTGTTGTGGTGATTTTTAAGATAACTATTTCGATTTCACGACAGCCTGCATAGATTAATTCCATGCAAAGCAAGCTTCAATCGAAGCAAAAACATACGACTGGTTCCTCCAGGATTCGGAATTCGACGTCATTTTCAAGACAGAATAAGTAATGGGGAAATGTTCGAAAAAAGATGACGTTGAACTTTATGAAGGAAGTGACCCATTGAAGAAAAGGTGATCTAGTCAGATAGAGTCTAGCGGGTAATTTTGAGGACGATTATGTTTATAAGTAATCAGTGATAATAATCATAGTTCCATGCACATCCGAATTACCAAAGATTACTAGAGGAGGATAGTAAGAATGTAATCTAGATATGTATACAAAGAGAGTGTACCATTAGCGAATACGTCGATAATTATCGATTAATGGGGCCTCGAGTACTAATCAATGTATGGGGTGTTTCAAGAAGACGCATATCAGCAACAAGTATGTGTATTCCTGAAGGAATTCGACAAAAAATTTTTTGGTATAGATTTAAGTCACTTAAAAATGTTTATAAAGGTTTAATATATTATTTAAATTTTGTCCAATATTTCATTCAAGTTGCGCATCGTGAGAAATACGCCAATGCTATCCAATATATCGTATGAATCTGCATCCGTTTGGAACACCCTATACAATGTTGCGGAAGTAGTATGGCTAAACTAAACGAAGACTTGTCTATGCGGACGGACACGAACACTGCATGTAACGAAATCCTTTCATTTGTCCTTGTTAATTTTACACGGAACTTCGCGTGCAGTTAATTTTCATCGGCTTCGCTCCGCCATCAACCCACCAAACTCAATCGATCAAATATTCATCGATAAATCTATTGAGTACGATCGCGATTATTGAATACTGAGAAGTGATTTAGATACATTCTAGATGACGTGGATACGCGCAATATTATAGACAACTAATAATTTATTATAACTGTACTTGCAGAATATTAATGATGATTTCTATATTAAACACGGAATAGAATACAGCACTGAACTCTTCATTGTTATAAGGAGAAGATCGCAAACACGAGTTGATGAGATTCGACGATCGAGAGAACATTACATAAAGCCCGATGGAAATCTAAATAAGTGTCCGCGACTTTTATATTTAGCGGTGTAAATGATGTACGAAAGAGTTCTTAAAAACGGCGTTCCTCTGCTCGTGCCAAAACGTAGCTAAGAAACAAATTTTTTAACGAGCTGCTTGAATTCAAAGGACATGATATATTTTTGCAAATCGCAGCACACTCGATATTCGCGAGCCATATCAAGAATAAACGATCTCCCGTCTCACAAATCTTTCACATTATGCGTTCTTGTATTCACTTTTCTCCTCCAAATTGTCATCTTTGAATTCGAGCAATGTTAAGCACACATACACACGTGTTTGACGAAAATATGTGCACAAAGTTGCGAATAAAGGCTAGGATGTCACAAGTTTGTGGGATTTTAATCAGGTTCAACCCCTCAAGCGTATATAATGTCATAGAATATCGTAGATTTAATATTTTTCCAATATTGAAGTATTAGAAACGTGGAATATCGCGGGGGAATTATTGAAGTTAGCCACTGAACAAACTATTTTCACAAAGTCTGATCATCGTTGATAAGCCTTCATTTCTAAACTATCGATCCTTTTGGAACTTAATTTTAAAGCATATTTGAGGGGCTGTGTAAATAATACGCGCAAGGTTTTACGGAAATTTGGAGTGTGTTACGAAAATCATCAACTTAATTACACAAGGCGTTTATAAGTTAATTTTAAAAAGCCAAAGAAAACTGTGTGAGACTGTGAAAATTATTTGAGAAATTTATTTACGTATTTCAAAAATTAACAACACTCCGGAAGAAATATATTGAATATTTTCCTAAATATTTCTATATTTTCTATGCAATTTCTATGCAAATATTTATATTTTGCTTGCTTACTTGAAAATAAGTCGAAATTGTGAATATTTTATACCCTTTACGACGTATCTTGCGTACGAAAGTTGACGTTTACGTAACGCTCAACAGAGAAAATTGATAGATCGCACGTTAGGTATCTGTAGTATAGCGATGATTAAGTGTACATGTTAAAGAGCGAGGCAATTATTTCCAACTGTATAGATAAATTAATGTGCTATATTCGAGTGCAACTAGTGACGCATAATAAACAGTTACGTACGTCTCGACTTATAGACGTAACTTGTTCTCTTCTCTGACTTGCTTCACCTTTTCCGTCCAATCTGGGGAAGATAAATTTATTTTCTAATTAGTATAGCGGGTAAATATAACCAAGACTCGTATGTGCTTCTTCAACGAATCACGATAAAAATTTTAAAAGATTGATCCGTTAAGGCATATATGTGAAGCGATTTGAAGTTGTTATTCTTTTCTTTTCATGTAAAATCGATTATATTTCCAATTTAAGGAAATTGCAAACACTCATATAGCAAAAGTTCCGGAATTTATATGTCGTAGGCAGGTCCTTTGTACCTCTAATGATACAAACATTCAGTAATTTATGCAAATTCCGAAATCTTTACATTGAATTGCATTCAGTGTTCCAGGTGAAGAAATTTCTTCATTCAAGTTCGAAGAGACTTAACCTAATATTTCTCCATTGACATTCTCCACCATCTACCATATGTCATCTTACGGAGACGCTACTAACCTTCTCATCACACGCGAGCATGCTTTTGCCGCTCTCTTGAGAGGTGCAACTGCGAGTTCTAATTAGCATCAAATTAGGTATTTAAGGATTTAACGTTTGTGCCTTCTACCAAAAATGAATAAGTCGAAAAGAAGATATGACGACAAAGACAACGACGACGACGATGACAACAACAACAACAACAACGATGATGACGACGACGATGACAACGACGACGACGACGAATAATAATAAGAAGAAGATAAAGAAGAAGAAAAGGCAGAAGAAGAAAGAGCAGAAGAAAGAAGAGAGCAAGGGTTCTACTTAGGGGTTATACCAACATAGCGAGCTCTCGTGTAAATTGTAAGCCTCTTGAGTCGTATAAGTGCACCGCATGCCGTATATATTTTGTTGGCGCTCATATAAGTTAATTTTCAATCTATATGCGGGTTCTCTCGGATGGTGCGCGGCGACTCATCAACGAAATGAAGAAATTGAGACTCTCGTTAATATTTAATGAGCAGGCGCGCGCGAGCGCGAGCGCGGATACAATGGCCGTTGGTCCCCGGGCCCGACGCCGGCGGGCCTCGAAATATCACCTCTCCGAGTCGCGTCGCGGACGCGCATTTACATGCACACGATTCGGTTCCCGGGAGTCAAGCGAGTAAGAAGTTTCGGCCGTATCCGTGGGTTCCCGGCGTATTTTCTCCGTGAGGAAGCCTTTTACAGAGCCGGCAGGTGCGCGCGCGCGCGCGGCGGCTCGTTCCTCCTTTTGGACTGGTCATCGTGAAATATAAGCAATTGGCGTTCGTTTGCTCGTGTGGTCTTCCGATTATTCTCCTACCTTCCTTAGCTTTTGCGCGAAATGAATAACCCGTTGTTTCTCGTTGACGGGAGAAATATTTGCACGCTCGATATACCGGGACGATTTTATTTTAACGATGCGCCCGACGTGTCTGCGAAAGTTGGACAAACAGTACGTTCGATTAAGACTTCCGTCGATCCAGTTATGAGTTACACATGTTTTTAAAATTTATTCTCGATATTTTTAAGTTTCGTGAATATAATTTGCAATTATTGTATCTTGAAGTTCGTTTAGCGTTCCTCGAATTCTCACACGGAGAAAGCAGTATGGTTGCTTCACACATAAATCTGGTTGTGCCAACCAGATTCAATATTGGATCTGATTAATACAACCAGATTTATGTGTGGGCTAGCTATACTGTTTTTTTTCATGCAACATTTCTAATCGCACGATCCGAACATCAGTTAGAATGTTTTGAACTTCTCAAGACTCGACGTCTTGGGGAAAGTAGTATGTACTTTGAACCGAGATTATTTATTGATTGATCATTTACAAGCGTTTATACGAGTTGTCAGCTTCACTTGAAGATTGCCCGACCTTTGACACTTCCAACAGATAGCGGCGTGCTGATTGGGAGTGACAGGTTGCCACGAAGTTCGCAATCGCATGTATTCTGATCTACTGGCAAGAGGCAAACAAACGGAGAAAGGAAGACCGCCTTCCATGACCGATCGAATTTTACGTTAATTAGCTAAGCGTCGTTAAGTCACACGCGAGGCCGTCCAGGTGTCACGAGTAATAAAGGGCCTGCCGTAACAAGAAACACGTACGAGCAAATTGGTATTTCCACAAAAAAAAGATCTTAATTTAATATAATAATAACTTAATATAATAATATCTTAATATAATTAAACGTATTACATTAGAATTTATTCATCTTATATTGATTTTACTTGAGCGAATCAGAGATCATGGTGTTCTAAAGTTAACACCATTAATTATACGCGCTAAAAGTTTGTTGGTATTTTAGAAGGACAAATATCAACATCTAAATATGTGGACAATATACAATATTGTGGTTTTTTAATTAACCAACATATTATATTTAATAACATGTATAGTAAGATCGTTATGTGGTAAACTGCGTCGTGATATCTTTTAATTAGAATAACAGATTAAAATTTTGTTCGCGAAATTTACTTTAATTATAAAGAAGTAGACGGGGGATTAACCATGATTAAAATTTCGTGAAATAAAACGAAGAGTCCATATCAGGCAAGGGAGTTTTAAGATTCTTGTTGAATGATCGTCGGTATCCGGTCGAACCCTATATTCGAAATTGCTCGCCGATTTTCAGCAATTTGGACGCGCAAATCGTGCCAATTTCCTAGGACTAGGAAACTAGTGTTAAATTCCGAAAATCACTAAGACGACAAAAACTATCTCGCACCCAGGCAGAAGACGCGACCGTCGTGCTGCAGCGCGCCACCCTTTCGGTAAAAAACGCGTCTCGAGAATGAAGGACAATGGGGAGGACTGTAGCCGTTACCGACGTCGAAAGATGTCCGAGCGGCTTAAAAAGTGGACCAATTTTCGGTAATTTGTACGCGAAGGCTCCTTAGACGTGCACACATTCACAGGAGAGAGAAAGAGAGGGGACCGGTCAGGGAGGGCATCCAGTTCCTCCCAACCCTTCTAACCATCAAAAAAAAAAATGGGCGAATATATACGCGAATATTTACAGGAGATGTAAACGGAAAGGATTATTCCAGGGGAAGAACGAAGGGGAGGATCCACAGAAGTCTACCTTTGAGGAAAGGCTATAAACGAGTCTGGTCGATAATCTTTTGTTCTGTCAAACGTTGGACGCGCCTGTTCCCTGAGGAAGTCGCCTCGTTCAAGGGGAGGAAAATGTGGGAGAGAAAGAGAAAGAGAGAAGAGGAGCAGGAGAGAGATGAGACAACGAGGAACGAGACTTGAAGAGAAGTTTTTATTTGGGTGGCTGTGAAAGCGGCGAGACTGGCGATCGTCCATCCTCGGCTCGATGTATATAGGGTGTTTGGTAATTGATGGTACAAGTGAGAAGGAGTGATTGCTTGAGAAGGGACACGGTGGTTTTGACATGTTTTTATGTAAAGATTCCATTTTTAGGCGCACAACTCGAAATATTAAAAGTTCAAAGTCCAATATCAAAATTCGATGATTATGAAGAACCTTAACGACAAGAAGTCTAAAAAATTCAAAATTCGAAGTATCTCAACTTTCGAAAACTTGAATGCATGAATTTTTATAACGTTCATAAATATCTTAAGATCTCTTTAATGTCATAATGTGAAGTAAATATATATATATATATATATATATATATATATATATAATACGAAAGATTGACATCACTAACATTTTCCGTAAATCACGTATTTTAGGATAACAAAATGCAAATCAATTTGTCCCGCCAAAGTGTCACCTGAATGTCGAATGTTATGTATCGCAAAATTTGGTATTAAGAGCTCCCTTCGAATTGAAACAATGATGTGCAGCAGTTGACTGAAAATTTAATAGGGTTCTATCGAAGAACTCGCATTGATTACAGACGCGTAACACGTGTGCACACGTGTATCCCCGACACATTCCCGAGTAAGAAGGGCGGCTGGTCAGCTGCTATTCAGCACACCATTGCTCTCGCTGATATCGTAGGAGCATAGTATTTCTTTCCTGCTTTTCGTGTTACTCCCCTCTCCCTACAACGTTCCTGGACCGTTTCTCTTCCTCCTTTCCGAGCCAATACGACGATAAGATTCTGCCGCGGTCCCTGCCGATTCGATTGCTCGATAGAAGCGGCCGGACACAGCAGATGGCCGCCGAGAGGGTGACAGAGGCACGCGTTACCAGTGTATGTCGGTACGCAAGAAAATGCCGCGCGCGGAAACTTCTTGTTTTGGTACACTCAAGTGGACCCACCACCCGGCTCTTTCTCTGGTACACCGCAAGGCGATGCAGCGGTGCGGTGTCGTTTTATTTTTCTTTTCTTTTTACGTGAAGCCGAGAAAAAGTCGAGCGCGTCGGTCCGCGACCGCCGTTACGTTCGGTCTTTTATTATTTTAGGGTGATTAATACAAAGTAAAATCCAATCGCCATTTTTTTAAGATCGCAATACTTAAATTTGTAACCGAGATTTCAAGCTTTTTATATTTCCTAAATATATACTTTATATATCAATATTTTTTTTTTAAATATAACAAATTTTGTACGTACTTATGTGTGTATATAAACGGGATATTTAACTTTAATGGATATTCGCGGTGAACGTTTTATATACGTGTAATATACGCCCGTCCGAGTTCTCGTTATGAATATGCATGACAGCTACTTTATGTTCGCGTAATTCGCGGTCTCCGGAACACGTTTAATGGACGCTCGTGAAGGATCTATTCCGACAGGATACCCCTTCGCGAAGGGGTGCGTGACGCCATTTCATCTCGTTTCTTTGCCCTCCCAAGAATAAAGAAGGACATCACTCTTTTTGTTTTCTATCCATCCCAAGATACAAATTATCATTTGTAATTATCTATAATTGGAGTTGTCCTTTTATCAGGACGATTAATTATATTTTAATATTGATACGTATAGGATACCTCATTACGATATTTCCGCGCTTATTAATTAAAATAGAGTCGATTTAATAATGAATAACAGAAGGCTGGAAATTACAGAATAACTTTATATCAAAAGTTATTAAAACTTACAGATGTAAATAATCCAACTATTGTTTTAACAACCTTGTCATTTAAATAATTTTATTTTCTATGTGTCTGTAGCTAGAAAAATGAATTTATATGTGATGTGTATGTATGTATATTTATACACATTTAGAGAGAGAGAG